GGAACCAGGTTTTAGTATCAAAAACTCCTTAGAGTTCATTACCATTGTTATTAACATTGCCTACCCAGGACACGAAAACAACAGGTATCTAGATGTCTAAGTAGAAATAAGTAAACATAATAATATTAGGAATGAAGACCAAGACTAGTAGATAAGGCAATATTGTGAAATTAATTTAAGACACTTGAGACGCAGGTACCTAGAAGAGGTATCAATGGTATAAATAACTTCGTATGTATCTTCCTCTTGAAGATGATCACTTGGTGATCGAAACACGTGTCTAGGTGTTGAAATAACGGTTTGGTGTTGGGAAAAAACTCCAGTAATATTCAACAGAAATTCTGTTATTCTTTGCTTTTACACAAACAGAATGATCCTTTTTTGGATCGGATCGTTTCATGTGATGAAAAGTGGATCCTCTACGTCAATAGGAGACGTTGAAGACAGTGGTTGGACAACGATGAGCCAGCCACCCAGGCACTTCACAAAAAAAGACCATGGTCTCTGTATGGTGCCGGCTGCTGCTGCTGCGTCAGCAGCACATTGACAAAAGTGCTCTGATTCTAATGGCGCTAATGGCGCACTGAGATATTACAGTTTAAAGTAGACTCATTAAAATGGACAATACTTTTAAAACATCCTACTAAAAGAAAAATACAAATGTGAACAAACGTCAATAACAAAAAAAAATTAAGTGATTGCAAGAGCCGCAAATTTCACAAGTTTGACAAACCCGGGAGCAGGTGCAAACATATCAACAGCAAGCCGAATATATAAACTAATCTGTCGTCCACTTATTGAATACTCGCATCCACTGTTTCTCAATATCAAACAAAGGGCCTTGAAAACAATTAAAGTATCTGAAACAATGGCTATAAGAAAAATAACTAGATTGAGGTATCCCAATAACCCCAAACACAACCCTCCAAACCCTCTGCTGTACCAACTCACCGGTATTATCCCTATCGAGGAAAGACTACCGCCACTTTCTTATTATTATTATCATTATTTTTTTTACCGAAGTATGCGCTGGTCAGGCCCTATCCCCCGAAGCCCCGATACATTCGGGAGGGCGCGCCAGCATTATCATCCAACGACCACTCCTCACAAGGTGGGGTAAGTGATCATTGAGTCCGAGAATCATATGCCCTGAGCAAGCGCAGTGAGCCAAGAATGACAGCCAGTATGATTTTAAGATTCGAGAGTAGAGAGGGCATCATTCCACCAAGGACTCCAATAATCAGAACAACCGTCTTGACAGAGTGATCTGGATAGAGTCTGCGGAGTTCGAAGAGAAAATCCCGATATTTTATTCATTTTTCGTCCTCTTTTCTGACGATATTCGTTTCGCCAGGAGCTGAAAACTCCACGACAAATATCGTTTTGCTCTGGTGGTCGAGAAGGACTACATCAGGCTCATTAGCTTGTATGAGCCTGAGGGTGGGGAACGAATAGTTCCAATAAATTCGGCACTTCTCGTTCCCCACAACGGATTCAATATCCCCCGGAGCGTAGGGCAACACCGGTGTCTCGTCAATACCGTAAGAGTGCCGTAGATGATAATATAGCACTCTTAGGGCCGCGTTATGTCGATGGATAATAATAATAATAATATGCGGTCTCGGCCTATCCGTATATTATTATTATTGTAGCAAATAATTATCTAATGCCAATTCAAATAATAATAATTATGAATAGTCGATTTCAGAAAGGTGAAACAAATTATATCTGTTTGAGGTAATCCTATAAGCATCTGATAAAATTGTATCTTCATATTTCAGGATGACGACGTTGCTGCTGTCAAAAACGGTTCCCTCAGCATTCACAGGGTTCGTAGGGGTGGTGATGATCCTCACAAGCGTGAAATCACCACCCTCAAAATGGAATTGCAACAAATTATGAAGGGCAATTACGATTTCTTCATGCAGAAGGAAATCTTTGAACAACCCGAATCTGTCATTAACACAATGAGAGGGCGCATGAATTTTGAAAATGGAGTGAGTATTTTTTTGCTAAAATGTGTTTGATAAATGATGGTAAATCTTGAATGTTTAAAATTTGAATAAAGAGATTTCATTATATCAAAATTTAATCAAATGCATGAAATAGTTGTCTTATTTATAGCCTGTTACTTTAATTTATGTTAGAAACTGACATTTACAGTACGAAGGCCACAAAGAATTTTTGCATAAACATTCAAGAGATAGACTGACTGAATATCACAAAACCTATGTAAAATGTGTTAATGAGTTTGTGTATTTCCAAACAACATTATTAATTTTTATCACACCAAAGGAGAAATGTATTCTTTTATCTGTTGATTGATTAAATATCATATAGGTTGAAAATTCAATTTTCTTCGTTAATTTTACTCTAGAAACAATTAAACAATGATTTGGTTTGGTGTTGGGAAAAAACTCCAGTAATAAACGATAATGTTAATATAATGCAATTCAGTTTAATTATTTATTCATCCATTTGAGTAATATTGCTATAGGACTAATCAAAAGTACATAAACATACAACTTGAGTAAGAAATGTTGAAATGAAATGTATACACACACACAGATACATATTTATATAGACAGATAACGTTTCAAAAAAAGTATTCTTATTTAAATTGAAAGAGTATATTTTATGACAGAATAAATTTTGGAAAAGAAAGGTTTTGGTATATTCCCAAAACATGGGAATATACCAAAGAAAAGAAAGAAGCAACAATTTCAAAAAATTAACTTTATATAAAGATGTTTAGATCATGAAAAGAAATAACTTTCAGACACAAACCGGAAGAAAAAATCCCTCTCGAAACAGTTATTTTCATATAAACATTGAATCACACAAAAGAAAATTACTTCTGAAACAAATACTTATATGTGCACGCTAGATTATACGAAAAACACTTTTCTCGATTCCGTTTGTATTCCAAACATTCGTAATGGAATGGAGTCAGATATCTTTCACAGGTTTCCTACACAATATAATAAATGAAAGAAGTAAAATTTCACTTACATGGAACAATGTCATCCTCACTGGTTTTGCCGTGAGACACTTGCCTTATCGGCACTTCAGTATCAAATACAGATAACATTATAAGAAAAAACACTCAATTCGTTCATAAAATTACAACTTTTTGTCACGGAATGAGTTGAATCCACTTATGTCATCGTTGACAGTACCTAAATAACATTCATTCGCTTATTAGAATAAATCCCAGCCATAGGAATTGTTTAAATTTAAATGGTACATTTTTAGGAGAAGTTTATTTTTGGGAGAGGTTTTGGCTTTCTACTTCTCTATCTTGAAACAAAAAATTAACCCTGTATAAAGATTTGAAGATCACGCAAAGAAGTAACTTTCAGACACAAACTGGAAGAAAAAGCTCTTTTATATGAACGCTGAATTATACAAAAACACTTTTTTCTATTCCTTGTATTCCAAACATTCATGTGGAATCGAATCAAAAATCATTCACAGGATTCCTACACAATATAATAAATGAAAGAAGTAAAATTTCACTGACATGGAACACTGTCATCTTCACTGGAAGACATCCGATGTTACGCCGTAAGTCACTTGCCTTATCAGCTCTTCAGTACCAAATACGGATAACATTATATGGGCACTATCCGATAACTGAACGACTTTAGTGTCGAAGTTCTGTCTCACCCACCATTACCACAGACCTCTCGCCAACCGACTACCATCACACAATTGTTGTGCTGACGGAATTAATTGACTTGTGTTACGTCGGCAAAAGTGCACTGATTCAAATGGCGCTTATTTCGATTACAGCTCACAGATATCAGCTGAACCAATCATGAATTTCAACTCCTATGCCGAATTTATAGAGCTTGTCATACGAGATCTCGTGTTGAATATAATCAAACGCTTGACTTTATTACAAATAACTCCAGTTGGTTTTCCCCCCTATTCAGTAGGTGAGTGTCGGTGACTTGTTTTAAAATATTTTGAGCAAATTTCTGATGGGAGTTTTTTTTTGTTGAATATTTTGGGGGCACAGAAATCTTCTTGCAAATTCGTATTGTTCCTACCACAATTAATTTTTTATTTCCTAATTTCCAGACTGTGACTTTGGGTGGAATCAAGGAATACATCCCTGAAATCAAGAGGTGCAGAAGACTTATGCTGATTGGTTGTGGAACAAGTTATCACAGCGCCGTTGCTACAAGACAATTGCTAGAAGAGTTGACGGAATTACCTGTGATGGTCGAACTAGCTAGCGACTTTCTGGACCGCACCACTCCTGTTTTCAGAGACGACGTTTGCTTTTTCATTTCGCAGTCAGGAGAAACGGCTGACACTTTGATGGCTTTGAGATATTGTAAACTGAGGGGGGCTCTAATTATCGGAATCACAAATACTGTCGGTAGTTCCATCTGTAGGGAATCTCACTGCGGAGTTCACATTAACGCCGGCCCTGAAATCGGTGTGGCGTCTACAAAAGCTTACACCAGTCAGTTCATTTCCCTTGTTATGTTTGCTCTAGTAATGAGCGAAGACAGGCTTTCTCTGAGACAGAGGAGGCAGGAAGTAAGTTTCAATTATATTCATAACTAGTAAAATTGCTTGTCTAAATCACCAGAACTGCAAAAAACCGGTTCTTTGCACATATTTTGTCAACCAGGTTGACTCCTCGGTAGAAAATAAATAATATTGTTACTCTATTGTAATGTTATATTTATATACGAATATAATCTAACTTTTACTATCAATCACAAATTGTTACCACCTTGAGTTCTCTAAATAATTTTTACTCAAGGAACTGAATGCTAATGAGAATAGGACTTTTGTCACTATATCAAACATCCTCATTGATTTTATGTCGTGGCTGAATCACAAATTATATGTTCACAGTATAATCACTTTGTCTGGGAATCACTGTTCGGGCTTACGAATGTGAATATTTTCTGTATTTCTATGAACTAGTTTTATAACTCGTTTAGTCTGTCCAACGTGAATTCTAACATATTCTTTTGAACAATTTGACAAATTCCCAACTTTTTTGTTTCCTTCACGACTTTCCGAATGATCAAAACTAGTAGCACTCCAGGATAATAAAGTTTTGAAAAGCTTGTTTCTAAGTGGCCTGATTGAGGAAATTTTAGATGTAATTACAATGTAACTCTGATTTTCGAATTTTGGCAAAACATTTTTGCAGTTCATGCAATGACACACATTGTCTATTGAGCCAATAAAAATCTTCATATATTGTGGTTGAATATACAGTAGAATTCATATATAACGACTTCGTTTTTAACGACTAACCGTTTCAAGCGACGATAATGTATCTTCTCAGTACTAGGTCATGTACTTCTTGATTTTGTCAATACTTCTTTGATAAATGGGCACATTCCAGAAAAACTCAAAATTAGTACAGTTGTTTCTGTGCCTAAAGTTTACAACGCAAATGAAGCCTTTAACTTTCGTCCCATAAACACTCTGCCTCCTTTAGAAAAAGTATTAGAGTTAGCTGCTTATAACCAAATATGCACATATATCGAAGACGACAATCTTTTGATAGAGTATCAGTCAGGTTTTAGATCGCAACACTCATGTGAAACTGCTCTTCAACTCACCTTGTCTAAATGGAAACTGTCAATTGATGTCAATATAAATATGTAAGCAGTATTTTTGGGTTTCAAAAGAGCGTTCGAAACTATAGATATATATATTTTGCTATCAAAATTACAGTACTATGGAATAACTGGTAGGGTGTTGCTATGGTTCACAAGTTATTTACTCAACAGATCTCAATGTACTAAAATAAACAACGTCCTATCAAGCCAAAAAGCAATTGATACCGGGGTCCCCCAAGGGAGTGTACTTGGCCCTGTTTTATTCATACTTTATTTGAATGACATAAATTTTATTAGTGACTGTGAATTCATCAACCTCTTTGCAGATGATACTCTCATTGCAGCAAGCAACTCTGATATTCATAATGCTGTACGCAAAATTAATTTGACTCTTGAAAACGTGGCGAAGTTCTTGAACATAAACAAACTCAAACTGAATACCACTAAAACGAAAGCTATGATATTAACAACACAATATAATATAATTTAATTGACATCAACTCCATTAATATTGAGATCTACGGCGAAATTATAGAAATTGTGAAAGAATTCAAATACCTAGGCTTCATCGTTGATAACACTTTGAACTTAAAAAAACACTTCCAGTATATGTGTAATAAAATTTTAAAAAAATTGTTTTTCTTTACTAGAATGTAGACAATTAACATTCCAATCTAATTTGACTATTACTTATGACTTAAAAAAACATTTCCAGTATATGTGTAATAAAATTTCTAAAAAAATGTTTTTCTTTACTAGAATTAGTAGACAATTAACATTCCAATCTAATTTGACTATTTATAAAACAATAATCCTACCACACTTTGATTACTGTGCTACTTGATATCATTACTAGACGGTAATTCTATCTCTACTCTACAAAAATTACAAAACAGAGGAATGCGCTTGTTATTAAAATGCCATAAATATACTCCTATATTATCAATGATTAATATTCTGAATTGGATGACACTAAAAGATAGATTACAATATTTTTCTATGATATTCATATTCAAAATACTCACTGGAAAAGCACCACATTACTTCAATGAGTTTATTACATATAACCATCAGATACACAAATACGATACAAGAGGAAGAGATGACTTGGTTGTCCCACGAACTAACCTTGCAAGGACAATGAATTTTATTTTTCACAGAGGACTCTTGGACTATAACAAGCTTCCTAATGAAATTAAACAAAGTAACACCCTTCAACACTTCAAACGCTCCTTATCTCAGTATCTACAGGCACAATACTATTCCAATTGAGTTGTTCATCATTCTTCTTTCTATTAATCTCTTCATCATCTACTACTGCTATATTTTACCCAATATATTCCATTATATAGAGTCTTATATATTTCAGTTTTTTTGTAATTCTGTTTAATAACTGATATATTTGTATAATATTTATGTATATTAGGATATCTATTTCAAATAAATCTATTTCTATTTCTATGTTTACTCAACTTGAGTTTTATACTTTTGAGAAAATATAACCATTTAGTTCGACTCTGGTTCAAGCGACCAACTGCTTTTAGCTACCATTTTTCATGATAATATGTCCGGTTAAAACGTTGCGCAATGTTTCGTTTACACAACATACGCACCAATACAATTGAAGAAGAAAATGCAATATTACACTGATTAGAAGCCGGTGAATCTAATGCAGTGTTCGCAAAGGAATTTGGCGTTTGTCATTCTTCAATATACACAATTAAAAAGACTAAAGATCAAGTCGCTGTTTAATGCCAATGTTTTGAAATGCAAACGTGTAAGGACTTCTACTTATGGGCAGTTGGATAAGGCACTGTTACAGTGGTTCAAGCTTCAGCGCGACTGGAGAATACCTGTTAATGGATCACTTCAACAAGAGAAAGCAAACTTTTTTGCTAGACAGTTGGACATGCAAAATTTCACATGTTCCATAAGTTTGATAAATCGTTTTGAAGTAAGACAAAACATCGTCAGTGGTAAGATTGCTGGCGAGTCTTTGTCAGTTCAACAGAGTGATGTAATTGATTGGTTAGAAAAAGTTTGGCCAACTCTACTTGCGCAATTTAGAGATGATGAAATTTTTAATGCAGATGTTTTATAAATTAACCCCGGACAAGACGTTAAAATTCAAAGGTGAAAAATGTACAGAAGGAAAATCATCAAAGGAGAGAATAACTGTGATGGTGGCAGCCAATGTGAGTGGCACAGTAAAAAAATACTTCTCGTAATCGGAAAATATCAACGTCCCCGATGTTTTAAAAATGTACGGCATTTGCCAGTGGATTATGAGAGCAATCAAAGAGCCTGGATGACGACTGACATTTTCACCAAATGGGTAGTGCATGGGATCGTGAACACGAAAAAGAACAAAAAAATCCTGCAGTTTGTTGACAACTGTTTAGCACATCCCCATAATGCAGACTTGAAAAGCATAACCCTGGTGTTTTTGCCTCCAAACACGACATCAGTGTTGCAACCTTTGGATCAAGGGATTATTCGAGCTTTAAAAGTACATTTTTGTAAAAACCTTGTCCTGAAAATGATCCAGTTTCTAGACGGCTGCAGAAGCATTAGTGTTGAGTACCCAAGATCACTGTTCTTGATTCTATTCTGATGATTCAAGATGCCTGGAACCAACTCAAGCAAGGGACAATTTTTAACTGTTACAAACACGCTGATTTTGTGCGAAGCAATATAGAATGTAGCATAACTTCAAACGCAGATGATTTCAACGAAAAAGACGATTTAACGCTGAGCATTTGGGCGAGGGCTATGTTACCCATAACAATCGAGGACTTTGAACAATACGCGTGTGTCGATAATGTCAATCCAAACAGCTAAATAAAAAACTAATGAACTAAGTTACTCTTTACTACTAATAAAAAAAATTGTGTAGGTTTATGAAAATAAAAATTAATAAAAAAAAATAAACCACGCCGTCCATGCCATACAAAGAAACCGCCGACATTCGGTAACTATTTAGTTTTCATGCCATTTGAATTGACTTCGTATATACTATACTTGAGGAATAATCTTGTCGTTTCGTGTGTCCTCTAGTTAGGTTCAGTCCCTTGAAGGTCGTTATATCCGGATCCTACTGTAATAACTACCGTCGACGATTTCCAAAAACATCCAACTTTTTCATCATTTTAATTTCCATGAAACATGTTTTATTGACTACGAACTACGAAAATGTATTGATATCTAGTGAGACTGGTTCCAGTTCACATCGATTTGGACCTGAAAAAAATTCCTGCACTTGGATCTGTGCTTGCTTTAAGAAAGTTGCAAACTTCTTAATCCGTATTGTTTAGGTATATGAAATTTGGATACATTTCTACGACCCATTAACAAAATAGAAATCGATAAAATGGAGACACTCTGGTTCTACAAGGTCTAATAAAATTTGTGTTCAAAAATCTGCTGAAAAGTTCTTTCTTCAGCTTTTAGGTATTTCCAAAAATTAATTGTGGTTAATTTTCTGCAAAAGAGTATTACAATAACTGGGTATTACTATTCGACGTTAGTGACTGCTCTACGAGAAAGAAATATGGAGACAAGATTTGGAAAGGAATCTTGTTCTTGCAGGACAATGCCCCTGCACGCAAATTGCATATTGCCATGCTAAGATTTGTAACCGTATCCACAGCATCAAGCGTATTTCCTCAATCTTTCTCTCGTGCAAAAAATTCTTGATTCAGGTTTTGAATTACTGGAACACTCTTCTTATTCACCGAATTTGGCACTGTTCGACTATCATGTCTTTCCTCATGAAGATAATCACTTGATGATTGAAACACGTGTCGAGGTGTTGAAAATACCGATAATATAGGTATTATCCAGTAATACTCAAACATTTTTTTGAAGATCTAGCGGCGTGGCAGGTTCACTGTAATGAATGTATCCAATTGAGAGATGAATATGTAAATATTTTGACTTTAAAATTTTCTTTGCTTCTATAGTAAGCTTGGAATTTTGCAATACATCCTCGTAATTGAAAATCTGTTGTTGAGTTACTTTCTTTGTGTCAATACATATCGATCCAGATCGGTAAAAATGAACCCTACTTTTCTTTATGCAAAACGTGTCACAAACATAATTTTGTATCTTTCTAATAAGTATTTCATTAAATTGGTATGGTGTTTGAGCTTTCCGAATAGTTTTATTCTTCACTAAAAAGTTATTGGGATTTAAAAAAAAACAGATTTATCGAATTGTTATTATTTTGTATGAAATTTTACCTATAACCATATCTTTAATTGTGCTTTATTTGATAATGCAACACAAAATATTTTTTCTTAAATTTCTATATATTCCACGTTTCTTTTGTTGGGTACCTATTCTGTATTATACAATTTTTAGATCATAACTGGTTTGAAAAATTTGCAACATCAAATCGGTGAAGTTTTGAAATTGGACAATAAGGTCAAACTGCTGGCAGAGGACCTTTATAAGAAGAAATCGTTACTGATAATGGGTCGTGGCTTCAATTTTGCAACTTGTTTGGAAGGCGCCTTGGTAAGATAGTTTTCACCTGTGTAAAATAAAATAACAATAAGGTTCTGCATTTTTCAGAAAGTCAAAGAGTTGACTTACATGCACAGCGAAGGAATCATGGCCGGTGAATTGAAACATGGACCACTTGCTCTTGTTGATGAAACAATGCCTGTTCTGATGATAGTTATGAGAGATCCTGTATATAACAAATGCATGAATGCACTTCAGCAGGTAGGCTTGAAGTTTCATTATTATTCATATAAAATAGAAAGTACTATTTTTTACATTACAAAAATTGTTGAATTGAAAAGGGTATATTTTTAAGAGAGATTAGTTTTTGAGAAAAAAGTTTCTGTTTCTTCATCTTTATATGAAAAATGTGGTTAAGTTCCGCAGATACAAAGAAAGCAATTAAATTCAAATTTAACTTTACAAAGATGTGTATATCATGCATGAAAGTTTTTTAGATACAAACTGAAAGAAAAAACCCATTCAAAACAACTACTTTCCAACTTATGAACATTAATAAGAACTATCATCCTTAGGTTTTTGGTCGAAAACATATGCCTACAACTTCTGATAAGAACCTTTTTGAACTTTTGATGAGGACTTGAATATAATATCTCAAGGACGGAAGATTTTCGATGTAAAAAAATTATATCAATGCTCATATTACGTTGTCCAAACTTAGGATAAATGAAATCAAAGAATCAGAGAATTAGGGATAAACTGCTTGCCAATCCCAACGGTTCTAGATCCTTCTGGTCGGTAGCTAAAGCTGTTAATCGAAATTGTACAAAATCCACAAATCCACTACTAACACAAGCGGATGGTTCAATTGCAACAATACCCATAGAAAATCAAATCTACTAGCTGAACAATTGACGTCCCACTCCACAGTCCAATTTCTGAGAAAGGTACCACCCATTATTCCCACACTATAATCCACAATGCCGCAAATTACTTTTCGACAACGTCTAGTCAGGTGAATTCTGAAACAGCTGAATATCAACAAGGCGTGTGGTCCTGATGAAGTGCCCGTCATTGACTTGAAAAGTGCGCAAATGAACTCGCACCAGTATTTTGCAGACTTTTCAACTTGTCTTACAAGAAAGGGGTTTTTCCTTCTTGTTGGAAAATTTCTTGCATTCAGCCCATTTCCAAAAAGGTCAAGAAAAATCTTCAAAATGACTACAGACCAGTTGGAAGGCACGAACTTGAGGCTTTGGAAGGCTTGATCTTGAACGATCATCAATATGGCTTTCGGAAACAAAGATCAACAGGCGATCTTCTATTGTATGTCACCCATGTTTGGAATNGCGATTTGAATCCAATGTGAATCACTATCATAATGAGTGAATCACTATCATAATGAATCTTTGACTTGCCTACCTTTCATCGAAAGTTACCCACATTTTTTGTAAAACGATGAAGAAGTAAAGAGCAAAGTTTGGTTTGGTTTGCAAGTTTCTGGCGATGTCCGATAATTTTATTAGTGTTCTTTTATGTAATTGTTTGTTTTTTGTTTGTAGGTTACTGCCCGCTCTGGTAAACCCATATTAATCTGTGAAGAAGGAGATCAGGAAACAATGTCCTATTGTCAAAAGTCACTTGAGGTACCCAAAACAGTTGATTGCTTACAAGGAATACTGACCGTTATTCCTATGCAGCTTCTATCTTTCCATATCGCCGTCCTCAAAGGATGTAACGTAGATTGTCCTCGTAATTTGGCTAAGAGTGTAACAGTTGAATGATAAGGTAATTCATATTAAGACAAACGTGTTGGATACAGATTTCTTCAATTTTATTGGCATGTAGTGAAATCAAAAAGTATTATTTACCTTATATATTTTAAAAAAGTTGCGTGAAAATGTTGATTGTCGGTTCCAAGGAAGAAATCAAATATTATAAATAATGTATTGAATGAATAATTGAAAATTAGTTGAGAATAATTGTGAATAATAT